ATAGTAGACTTTCACTAATCAAGAAAGGGTTCTACATCTGAAATAAAATGTTTCAAACCTTTATATTCGACCACTGAGCTTCACATTAATAATTAATCAGCATTGCAATAATTCTTATAAGAATGCAAATAATGTGTATACTATGTCATATCTTCAAAATATCTTACAAGATATTTTTCTGTCCTTCCTAAGCTTTAGTTGGTTTTCAAAGCATGGTAGGCTTAAATATTGTTTTTTTTATTTTATTTCTTATTTTCCTTTGCTAATGTACGTTCTTTTCTTCTTTTAGGTCTTAGTTTCTTTGCAAATGTAGTTGTTTCTTTTTTAAATAAACAGAATCTAAGCGAAAAAGATTTTTTAAGCGAGTGTAAAGAATCAAGGAGTGTGTCTTTAAGTTTTGGTACGTTAAGCTACAAAAATTTGTAAAAAAGATATATATAATTATACTGGAACTTAACGAGTATATAACGAAGAAAAAAAAAAGAAACTACTCCTTATATTAACCCCTAATTTCGTCTTCAAGAACTCGATTACTTCAGTTCTTTAATTCTCTATATACGGAAAGGTGGCCTTTAATTTTTTTTTTCTTTTATTGCTTGTTCCCTTGCTAATGTACATTTTTTTCTTCTTTTTAGGTCTCAGTCTTTGCAGTTCTTCACAATAATAATAAAAAAAAATTTTCTTTCTCGTCCTCCTTTACTATCCCTTTCCTTCAATTTTAAGTTCTTGTGAAAGGCAAGTGTTTTTTACTTTTGATTCTTTTTTTGGTTTCCTTTCCATTATTTTTGCTGATTTTGTTTTCTCTTTTTTTTTTAGATTTTCAGTAAGATCAGTGTTTCTCTTTTCATTTTTATGTAGTTTCTTCATTCTAATTTTACCCTTTCTTTAGGTTCTTGGTTCCTTGCAGCTCTTCATAAAAGGCAGGTGTTGTATATCTTTTTTTTTGTTTTTTTTTCGTTCATTCTCCTTTACTAATTTCATCCATTTTTTATTTAGGTATTCGGTTCTTTGCAGTTTTTTATGGGCAAGCAATGGTTAGAATTATTCTTTTTGCTTCTTTCATTCTTCATTCCTTGTTAATTTCGTTCTTCTCTCCTTTAGGTTTTCAGTTCTTGCTGCTCTTCGCAAAAAGGTATGTGTTTAGAAAAGTTTTTTGTTTTTTTTCATTTCTTTCATTTTCATTTTCTAATTTCATCCTTTTTTCTTCAAGTATTCTGTTCTTTGCGAGTAAGAAAATTTTGTAACGCAAAACAATTTGAGGAAGATAGAGATAAAGGGAAGTTTAAGGTGGATGACGAATCAGTAGAAAAAGTAGTGGAAGTTATAAATGATTTGAGATCAGAAAATCAATCAACTTCCACGCAACAAAGTATTGATACGGGATCAGAGAACTACCCCAACAGCACCCAGAAAAATTCTTCAATCACGTGATATTGTGGCACATATGTGGCACATATTCTTATCATTAATTGGATAAACAAATAATTATACTGTATATCGATCATATCAATCATCTTTTTTTTCTCACAAAATATAATACGTTAAAAAAAATATAACCCGTCTTAAAAGTTAAAATTTGAAGATTCAAAAGGTATGTATACGCGTATATTATGGTTTTTTTTTATATTTATGTATTTAACAACATAAAATATATAATTACGTGTATATTATATTATTTTTATTTTTTTATTTATAATTATGTATTTAACAACATAAAATATGCAATAAAGATGACTTCTATCAGTAAAAAACAATGTTCTAAATGTTATCAGCATTTTGATACAAATTTTTTTACAAGTAAAACTGGACGTGATTTAAAAACATGTATTAATTGTCGAGAACAAGCAGCTACTGTTTATCGGACTCATCATCTTAATGATAAAGATCAGCTAGAACAATTATATTGGAATGATGTTAAAAAAAAGCTCTATGATAAAATTGTTGAAATTGGGAGTAATGAATACTTGGAAAATAAGGAAAATGGTGTTCTTTTTTCATGTATTCTTATAATGGAAAATGAATTATTAAAAGAAGAGCCATGTAATATTTCTAAACAAGTCGCAAAATTAGTGGAACAAGCAGATGGCTATTATTATATGTGAGTGTTTTTATTACTAATATTATACTAAAATAATAATTACTATTATATTTATTAATTATTATTATACTTTTATATAGTTACAAAGAACACTATTTATCAAAAAAATCTGACAAAATTTATACTTATTGGTATTATTGCTCTCAATGTCAACAATTAGCAAAAAAACCTTGTAAAAATGAAGATCTGAATAAACAAAGAGATCGTGAATATATAAAACGTTTGGACTTATAACTATATCTATTAATATGAATACTTTTCTTGTGACTATTCATCTTAAATATGACATATTGCATAAACATTCAGAAAGATATGCTGTTAGTGATACAATTAAAGAAAAAATAAAGCAATATATCAATTTTACACCAAAGGATATATTTCGGCAACTTGAACAAGAAAATCCAGATTTAATCCAAAAACAAGTTCATGCATGGTGGGCTAATTTTATTAAACAGGAGTATATTCGTGATAAAAATAATCAATTGAAATCTGCAAAATTGCTCCTTGAAGAATATAACTATGAAATTATTTTAGTGAATATTGAAGGTGAAATAAATTACTTGGGATTTATAACACCCTTCTTTGAACTTTTGTCAACAAATAAGGAAATTGTTGTGGATGCAACATGTAAGTAAAAAAGATTTTTTTTTAATTTACTTATTTTAACTTTTCTTTATTTTATCAGATAAAACAAATGCTTTAGGTTTTGTCATTTTGAACTCTATTCAGTAATTGGGCAATCAGATGGTGCTGGTTTTGCACTGGCTTATCTTTTATTAGATAGTACAAAAAAAAATGATGGTATACGAACGGAAATTCTTGTAGAATTTTTTAACCAATTGCAAATTAGAGGGTTAAATTATTTACAATTTTTTTTAACTGACAAGGATTTCGCTCAAATTACAGCTGCCCAATCAACCTGGAATAACATAAAAATACAATTATGTTTATGACATATCAAAAAAGCATTAAAAAAGAAGCTTTCAGATAATACATATCCAAAAACTACAACTTATAGTTCTTATGATGCTCACGAAACATTTGATTTTATTGATATTGAGTTTTATCCTGTAATATCTAATCAAAAAGAAAAAAATTTCATTTTTTGTCCAAAAGATCTTAGACCTAAAATTATTGAATTATTAGAAACTCATTTGCATCGACATCCACTTATTCCCAATTGTGCAGGAGAATTTCTATCAAAAGAAGATATATGGAAATTGTCAGTTCAGGAAATTTATGAATTTTGTTTTAAGTATGATTTACGATATGTGTGGGCTTATCTTTGGATCAACTGGTATCAAAAAAAAATGTGGATTCTATGGAGTCGTGCTGCTATTGAAGATCAAATTTGTATTTTTCGTACAACAATGTTAATGGAGTCCCACTGGAAAGTTATAAAACGGGATTTTTTACCAAAGTTTTTTCGTCCACGAATTGATCTTCTTATTTATATAATTATCAGCCGGTTGATCCCTCATCATCAGCAACAATATCAAAAATATTTAAATGAAAGAGAACACATATCTTGGAAAAAAGATTTTAAGAGAGAATGGAAAAAACTTGAAAATGTAAAAATCAATAATTTTTATTTAACAGATACTACAAGATGGATTTGCAGTTGTTTGTCATTTGCTCGTAATAGATTTTTCATTTGTAAACATCTTGTCCAACAATATGGTAGACCAGAATCATTTTATGATGTTCATCGTCAAGAAAGATATCCTTTCATATTCTTTAATACTATGGAAACCACTAGTGAATCAGATATTGTATTAATAGAGAATGATAATATTCAAAAAGGTAACATAATAGTAAATATATTAATAATAATCTCTGATAATATTAATGATATTATTTTTTTAATAATAGGTATTTTACAAGATGTTACGAATATTGAAGATGATGATAAAAATGAAACTGATAAAATATTTGATGAATATGAGGAATGGTTAAATGGTACATTAGAAATAATTCGTAAACAAAGGACTTTCGGTAATTATAGATGGGCCAAAGCAATAAGAAATAGTTTGGAGGGGGTTCATAAATTATATTCTGATGTAAAAACATATCAAAATCGCCATACCAATCCACGAACCTGGAAAGATTTTAATAAACATACTATGTTTTTAGAATAAGCTGTTTTTTATTGTTTCTAATATGGTAATATTTTTATTATATATTTTATGTTGTTAAATACATAAATATAAAAAAAAACCATAATATACGCGTATACATACCTTTTGAATCTTCAAATTTTAACTTTTAAGACGGGTTATATTTTTTTTAACGTGTTATATTTTTGCGAGAAAAAAAAGATGATTGATATGATCGATATACAGTATAATTATTTGTTTATCCAATTAATGATAAGAATATGTGCCACATATGTGCCACAATATCACGTGATCGAAGAATTTTCTGGGTGCTGTTGGGGTAGTTGCTAAGATCACGTCATTCACGTGTTTTAATAAGCTTTTATAAGCTCCATTTTCTTTCTTACGCTCTCCTTATTTTTCTTTTCTCATTTATTATTTACGGTTTTAACAATGTCAATGAGTGATAGTACAGTGATGGCTCTGATAGCGACCTTTTTATTGAAGAATTCCTTGAGAATATTCCAGATGACAGTGACTTAAGCGATAATGAACATTAGAAGTTGGCTTAAGAATTAGACCAGTCTAAGAATATGAATAACCTATTAGAATTCGATCCGGAAAATGTTAGAAATCCCGTGATTAGACATCCAAGGGAAGACCGCCAGGAAATACCAGATTTAAAAGACCTTTAGAAATTTCAAATGACTCTAATAAAATCACTAATAGGCGGACTCAAAACAAATGTAGTTATTGTATAATAAAGGACATAATCATGCTACTTGTCCATCAAATCCTTGTCAAAAGAAAAAATAGAATGACGAATAAAAATTCTAATTGGTAGGTCATTATGAGTTGGTTAGCGTTGGCTTAGGTTATGCATTGGCTTAGAGTTAGATTAGGGTTAGGATTAGGGAGTTAACTGGTTTAGAGTTAGGAGTTGGCTTAGGGTTAGGGACAGGGATGGTTGGTTTAGGAAAAAAAAATACTAATTCTAATTTTTCTTTTTTTAATTATAGGATTTTGCATTGACTTAGGGTTATGTATTAGCTTCGGGTCTAGGAGTTGGCTTAAGTTTAGACATTAGTTTAGAATATTAACGGGATTCATGAGTTTTTAGTGCCTTTCATTTTTATTTATATAGAATTGTTAATCGCTAACCCTGGTAAAATAACAAAAGACATTCCAAACCTGTTAGTTTTAGTATTATTAAAACAACTACATCATAGAACTGGCAAATTCATTCTCCGATATATTAGTAAAATTTTAAGCGGCTCATGATAAAGTTAATATCGCCATGCTTTGAACGAGAAACTGGCCCAAGATAATCTCTCACTTTCCAATGTCAAAAAATTAAAAAATACTGACCAACTCCACAAATTGCTTTATGATTGATTTTTCCCAACCCGAAATTATAATAAAATAAATATTTTATCAAAAATTGTACGCTCGAAACATCCCATTGTTAATAGTATTATTATTATCGATCAGTATAGGTTCAGGAATCATGATCAATACCAATGACACTGAAACAAAAGTTTTGATCTATTTAAACTACAAACCTGTTTATTATACTTCTTGAAAAAGTGCCAAGAAATTTTTTATTATTAGTCTTCTCATACATAGTTAATCCTATGAATTGTTATTTGAAACGTACAAAGTACTTTATAAGCTTTCATTATATTTTTCTTAATTGTACGATCACTGAAAAAATCATGTAATCATCATCAAAAGGTGGTTCACTTTCTTCAGTTTCGTTTTCATTTTCATCATTTTCAAATTAGACCGCTGGTCTCTTGGGAAAATGGATTGGCAGTTTTACGGATTTTTGATTTGTCAAAGAATGAGACTTAGGTACTAATAACACGTGAGGAGTTCGTGAACTGAGTTCAGAATTAGAGATGGGCATGTTATATAACAATATAAAATAACACAATGTTATATAACATATATAACATATATAACAGTTATATAACATAAATAACAATGTGTAACAAATATAATACTGGCCAAAAAAATTGTATAGTGACTATAATTCTAGCCAAAATTATATTAAAAAATTTCTGATGTGATCAACGAAATAATTTCCTTTTTTGATTCTTGTGTAACAACTGGCAAAGATTTTCTCAATTTTTATTGGGAGACAAAATTTCCTTTTTTGGATTTTGTGTAACGTCACGTGATATGTACCGAAATTAGAACTTAATTCCGGCTAACTTAAATTAATTTTGGCCAATTTTGTTATATAATGTTATATATGTTATATATGTTATATAACTAATATTAAAAAATGTTATATATGTTATATATGTTATAAATGTTATATAACGTGTTATATGCCCATCTCTACATGCAGTAATTGTTGTAAATATAATAATATTCGTGTCTATTAGCTAAATATGAAATATTATAAAAAATTCTAAGGCAATTTGAGTAAACATGTTTTTTGTATTTATTAACCTATTGGTTGAATAAATGGGTCACGTGAAAATGTTTGTTATTGATATTGTTTGTGTGAGTTTGAGTAGAGTTTTTAATTTTGTAAAATAATTCTATAAATTTTTGATATGTACAGTATAATAC